AGGACCCGAGTTCAACCTGCAGACATAGTCACCTGTGCCAGAGGCTTTGAGGGCAGCTTATTGTCATAGCAGGGGTGTGATAGGGGTTTCTTTTTGGTGGCGGGGAGGAAGCCATGACCCTTCTGCTTCAGTCAGGACTGGTGTTTCTGGGCTCCCTGGAAGTTAATCCAGGCCACCTCTGCCAGAAGACACTGTAAAAAAATATCTGCCTGTTATCTCTTCAATGAATCTGGCCCATTTGCCTCCAGAATGAGAAATTTAACCTTTCTGCTGTGTTCAGGGTATACAGTTATGTGGCACGGGAACGTGTTGTCTGCCTCCTGTTTGTGTGATTCTGTGTCCAGTATTGCCCAGTCACCATCCATGCTTTGTTCTCCACCCAGCAGAAAGTGCTTCAGGAGAGGGGAAGGCAAAGGGCAAAACAACTTTGAAGAAACAAACAGCAATTCTCAGAACTCCAGCGGTAAGTGTGTCCGTTCCCTCCTGCTGTTGCTTACTACATCACTCTCCAGGGCAGGATTCAGCTGTGATTGGTGATGGTTTATCTGTTGGGTACCTTCTGCAAAGCTTGCAAGCTGTCGGCCTTCTAGGGGTATAGTCCTCTTCCCAATCCTCCCCTGATTTCTGGCACTCCAGAGCCTGTATGAATTGTGATGTGTGGATGCTGCTGCCAAGGTCCAGGTATCTTAGCACAGTCTTTTTACTGGGGAACAAAGATGCAGAAAAGGTGGAGTATGGATAGGGATGAAGCTGTACTCATTCTTTGTAGTGAAGTCCTTGTGAAGCAAATCGATTTTCAACAAGCAAGAGAATTCTGAGGACTATAAATAAAATAGCAGTTTGCATATTATGGTGATGCTAAATGTGGCAATATAGTTGCACTTCACTGTAAACAAGAATCCAGCTGCCTGTGAATTTGCTCCAGGGAGGTCACAGTGTATCTGATGTATAGATGTGAGAGCAGAATAGATATGCCAGAAGGAACTGAAATTTACTTCACTTCCTGGGTTTCCTTTGAATTTTACATCCAAATGATGGTAACTGAACATAACCTCCCATCCTAGACAGTTTTATTTAGGTAGGACATTTATAAAGCTTCCTTTGCAAGATCTTACTTTCATCCCATCCATGTATTTCCTTGATTTCAAGTGGGACACTACCACTGTTATACTCCCCACTTAGAGTTTAACAGACATACCAGATATAATGGCATCTTCATGCAAACTAAATCATATGCTAGCATAAAAGGCTGGTCTCCTTTCCTTACGCTTTCAAGAGGACTAAATCATGTGGTGTTCACAGTGCTGCTAGCTGGAATGGACAGGTAAGAGATGGAGCTGTCTTCTCCAGGAACTGCCAAGAGTTAGGAAGGAATTTGTCCCCGCAGCAGGTTACATGTGGGGGGTTTATATCCACCTCTGGAGCGCGTGGGGGCTCTTGTGGAACTGTCTGAAAAAGGAATGGTGTTGGAAAACTCATATGCGGCAGAGTGGGAGATTCTGAAAGGGGGAAAAAAAAAACCTGTTTGTTACTAAAATACTGGTTATTGTGCAATGAGGATTGATCCTGTACTAATCCAAGCATTTACCACAATTGCAGCTGTTCATTCGGGGACAGAAAAACCTAAAGAAAAGCGATGTAAGCAGAATCCATCAGGTGAGCTTGTCTCTATGTTTCAGGCCTTTATACTCTCCTCTCCTGTTCCCTTTGGCAGAGCCTCTCCTCAGTCAGCCAAACCAGGCCATTAGAAATGGCAGAACATGGACATCGCTGATGTTGACTGTTCAGAGTTACTAGCTGACTTGCTGTTGGGAAAGTGGCCCCTGGCTCCTCAGCAAGACTGTTCTTGTCCTGTCTGTGTGTAGTGTGAGTGGTTTGTGTGAAGGATTTCCAAGTGTTTAAATGTTCATCTTTAAACGGGTTCCTAACTGCTCTAGGAACTGCTCTGTTGCCGCTTTAACAGCAGCAGCTTTGGGTTGTTCTTAGACAGTGCTGGGAGAAGGACAGAATCATCTTCCTTTGTATCAAACAACTGATCCCTATAGCCAAGAAATCTGCACTGAAAAACCTTCTGGCTGCAAACCTGCTGCAGAGTCTTAAGTTCTGCAGAGAGGGAGATGCATCTGTGGCATGGGAAGGGGTCCAAGAAAAAAAAAAAGTGTGGCTATGATATATTGTCAAGAATATAGTTCGGCCTGAATATCTTTTAAATACTGACCCGTTGTTGCTCTGACACATCTCACAGATCCTTCTTTCCATCTCCTTGTACCTGCTCACATCACACTCATCTTTCTCCTGAATCAGTGTGTGTATAACCTGTAAATTTTAAAACACACAAGAGTAAAAGCTCATAGTAAAAAACAAACCAAATACAGACATTTTTATAAATTAAATATTGAGTTTCATATGCCTTGCTCATCATCATTCATGATAAGAAGTGATTCTAGGTGTACCAGCATGTATGCCAGGGCCTGGCAGGCTGCTGGGAATTGCAAGGTGCTCACCCAAACCTGTCTTTGAACCAGAAAACGTGAGGTCTGCTTGGGGCTCATTTGAGAGGAGTTGGGCCTTGGTTGGAAGCACTTCCTTTCTGCATTAGGAAGCCAACACACTGCTCAAAGACAGACTGGTGCATGGGAGCATATAAAATTCTTGCCTTTTTCCCATTACTTTATCTATCCCACATTCTGTTTTTTTTTGCCATGTTTTTTTCTCCCTGGACTCTTTATTTCCTGTGCTGCTTCCTGTGTGTCCCATTCAGTGCTCTTCTTTTCCAGCTCTTCCTCCAAGCCATCTCTTTTTTATTTGTTTTCTCAGGAGTCAACCCAGATATTCTCACTGATAGCAGCTTTAGTGGCCATCCTAGCATAAATGATACTGGTGATTAGAGAGGCCGTGGAAATCTCTACAGGCTTCCTAGGGTTTGAGTGTCTGAGCAGATACGTTCACTTTTCAGAAGCTGATGTGTTTCTTTCCTCACCATTCCCGTTTTTTTCCGTGACGGTGTTGCGGTAGGTGTGTATGGAGCTCAGTGTACACGTGCATAGCACAGGCTCCTAGGAGGAACTCTGGCATTTCTGTTGTGCTCCAGCCAGTAGATGCCACCCAGGCAGAGACGCAGCTGCTGGTTATGTGGTTGCAAATGACAGGGACAGACACTTCCATCCTCTCTGCTCCCATATGCTGCCAAGCACCAAACTCCTGCTGCTGTAGGGAGTTGATTCCCAGGTGAACTGAGCCTGAGAGCTGTGTGGCTTCCTTAAACTTTGGATTCTGTGTAACATTTGCTTAATGTGGATGGGAGCTTTTAGTGACAGGCTCGGCTGTAGTGATCCTGAAGAAAACAGCAGCATCTTTTGGGACTGTGGGGTTGAGCATATCCTGCTCCTTGCTTTTCCCTCTCAAAATGTGCAGATGGATGTCTCAAGTGAGGAGGAAAGGCAGGCAGAGCAGGAGACCAGCAGCTGAGACCATCTAAAAGAAACCTGGAAGCATTTCTGTAGGGAGTCTTACATGGGAATAGACAACCAGAATTGAAAGTGATGGAATCAAGATCTCACACAACCCCACTCCGTGTGAGAGTGAATGCAAACTGCCCTGGTACCTTTAGCTGGGAACCCTGGGATCTTCATGCCTGTGCAACAACATCAAGATAGAATTTGTGTAGTGGTTGTGCTTGGCAAAGCACCGTTTTGTGACTGAGCTTGAATCCGTCTACTAGCAGAAAGTCATCACTGCAGGGGGCATGGTTTAGGCACACAGTGGATGGAGAGGGACTGCTGAGCTGCCACCCATTGTGTGAATGGGGTATTAACCTTTGTGTTAACAGGCAAGAGGCTCTTCAACCCAGTAATTTGCTTTTTGATGAAATTTGTGAGTGCTGGACCTGTTTTCAGAGTGTTTTCAAAGTGTCCATCAGAACCTGCAGGTTGCCCCACCAGGCTGCCCTGGAGCACAGGCAGCCCACCCAAAGGTCCCATGAAGCCCCGTGAAGCCTGTGGTTATTCACTCCTGAACTCAGGAGCTGGACTCAATGATCTTGAAGGTCTTTTCCAACCGTAATGATTCTATGATGATTCTAAGCAAGGCCAGAAAAGAATCACGTGAACCAGTTACAAAAGATGGAGTTGGTCCTTTGTATTGCATAACCTGTTGATCATCTAAGTCTTAAAGCTGGTTTCGTTGGTCCTTTGTATTGCATAACCTGTTGATCATCTAAGTCTTAAAGCTGGTTTCAAGAAATAAAGCTCCTTGTGTTCGTCATTTTGCTGAATCTTGAGACGAGAAAAAAAAATAATTTCCTTCTTTGAATTTATAAGTAAAAAATGTTTGTAAAAGAATGAGAAGTGTCGGTTGTCACAATATAAAGTGCCTGGGATTGAATTTTAAGAATGTGCTTAGTGAATGTTTCTGAAGCTGGTCTATAAGCACACATTTCCTGATCTCACATGCTGTATTTCTTTTTCAGTGGTTCAGCTCTAAACTCAAAACCTTTTTGATAATATTTCTGACTTTCCTGTATATGCAGCACACTTAGGATAGTTACGTTTAGCTAATGGAAATGCATTGTGGGATGCTCTTTGTGTATATTATGGATACTGATTACCATCCAGCTGCAACATGATACTATTTGAAGCGGAAGGAGCCGTCTCATTCACGACTTGCCACAGAAAAAAAATCCTAATGTTAAACTATGTAATCCCTTAAATAGATAGTGTTTCGTGCTTCATAACTGAGCAGAATGGAGCTTTAGTTTATCACAAATGGCAAAAAGGCAGAGTGCAGATCAATGTTAAGCTCATGGTTGAAATGTTTTCTAAGGCTGCGCTGGGTGCTGATGGAAGCAGACGCAATGTCTGCTTGAGCCCCCTGTGCCACTTCCATTGCAGTGACAGCAAGTTTAGTTCCGTATCACTTATCATGTCCTGATGCCAAGTCCTGTAATGTGACCAAGAGGAAAAAGTCAAGACACTGAGCAGGAGCTTTTGCTGGACTTTCCAGGTGAAGGAAACTGCGTGTTGAGACTGTTATCCATGTTGTGCTTTGCTAATGGGTGTGAGCAGATGGATGTTCTTGCTGCAGAGTGAAAATGTGCAGGTTCTCCAGCTGCCAGAGAGCCAAAAAAAGAAGCAGTTTTGTACTGAAAGTGCAGGAAATCATGGTATGCGTGAAGGTGGAGGCAGCCAGGTGTGTTAATAACACTGGGATCTTTTGCTGTTGACTGTACATCCTCTTACGGCCTCTCTCTGTAGTTCAGTGATGATATAGTCTGTCCGACTGGATTCCCTCTTTGGAACATAGGAGACTTGTGTGATATAAACTTCAGTAAGTAAGTGTGACTAATGCTTAAGGCATAAGAGTTCTTGATCGTTGACTGCAGCACGGCGCTAGCACAACCAGCGCTAGAGCCTCTGCCCCTGGAGACACAACTGCTTGTCTGGCAGGTTATGCCAGCTGGACTCGTACAAAATATAAATTCCATTCAAGTGCCTGGATTCATTGTTTGGTATCTGTCATCTGGTGGCTGATTCACGACTAAGAGCCGGCTGCTGCTGTCCTTGAGCTGGAGGGGCACCAGGTCCAAGCCTGCTAATGGATGAGGAGTGAGGAGGGGAAGGTTCCTCATTAGGGGAGCTCCCATGTTGTCTTAACTAACCTATAGGTGCTATAGGGCAACACAGTTGTTTGTGCATTTTTTAAAATAGTCATTTTACTCTGTCACATAAATATGCCACATTGGTTCCACCTAGCATTCACTTGGGATCAAGCTTTCCCAGAATGAACTATTCATTTCTGGTGCCATGTTCGTTTAGCACTTGTGGGCTTGTCTTGTTGAATGGATTATTTGTAGACAGGAAGAAAAATATCTTGGTTAAAATAACCTCTCAGCAGCAATTGTCTGTGGGTGGAAACCTGCCAGTTCCTCAAGAGCTCTGAGACAGCAGCTCTTTGGAAGGGACGTAAAGACAATAAATAAGAAAGATGTTGAGGCAGCAGTGTGAGCAGTCAGCAGATTTGTGAAAAAGCAGCCAGAAATACAACCTTGGGATTGTGGTCTTCAAGCACAGATACTGTGCCATGCCAGGGTGGACGGGACATAGGAAGAAGAATCGCTGATAGACCAGGGTGTGAGCAAGGAAAGAATGAACTTATATTTCTATCTAGCCTGGAGAATCTGCGGAGTGAAAGATTAGCAAAACCCAGAACAAGCTGAATTATCGGGAGGCAAACTATGACACTCTGGCAATTTTTTTCACGGTTGCTGGTGGCTTTTGGTAAAATTGACTGGGATAGGGCATATGAAACATACAGTGCATGGAGAGCATTGGCCTAGACTATAAAGATCAGAAAATTCCTATTACTGTTTGGTGAGTGGCTTCAACTCCTATTGCAGATTGAGAACACTTTTCACTTGTAGAGGAAGTCAACATAAAGCGGAGACCGTATTAGCAGTACTGGCTGGAAAACAATTTAACTCATGCCAAGTGTGCCCATGAGAATACATTGAGATGTATTAAATAATATATGCCTGTCCTGCCCTTCCAGGTCAGGTTTGCTTTAGGTTGGAGGGTAAAGTGCTGGTTTTTAACTTGAAAAGCTTTCTCACTTCTGGATGCTGAGAGAGCCCTTTAAGACTGAAGCTGCAGGACTGACTAGTGAGCGTCCCTGTGCTCACTGAATATGTGCAATGCTCCCCAAACCGGACGAGAGCACAAATGGTAAAAGAGTGGCACCTACAGCAGTCTGCAATGTTCACCTGCTCAGCAGGACCAGCTTAGCAACCTATTTCAATGAAGATGATCTTCCAGATACAGAGTCTAGCAGCTGTAAATGGCACTCGCGGTGCCTCAGCAGATAATACGGATGTTTGAAGCAATTGGCAGCATTCTGTATCCTGCTTCCATGCATCACCTTTCCATAGCACTGTTTGTTCTTGTCTGCCTAGCATCATCCATGCCTTCATTTCCATTCATCACCAGCTGGCCCTGCCAGCTGAAGCCCTCTCTGGAAGCAACTTCTGACATATTCAGGGCAAACCCTCAGCTTGCTTGACCTCTGAGCTTGACCACAAAGTCCCATTTTTTTGTCCAAACAAACCGCAACAGTCTTGTCAGCCCTGAGAGCCTCTTTCAGTTTAGAACTTTGCACCTGGGACCATTTCACAACTGCATGGAACTGATGATTGAATAATTAGCAGTCATGGTTTCTTCCCCTCTACATGGGTTTGACACTAGAGGATCTAACCTGCAGCTGTAGGAAACTGCACAGGGTGATCTGAGGTGATCACCCTGTGAGATTTGCCACCCTGGCTGAGATTTGCCACTTCTGACCCAGGGCACTTTGGCCTGGAGTGCGAATAGCCCCTGTAGGTTGACCAAAGGCTTTCAGCCACGTCTCAGAGATACCATTCGCGGTGCTCCGTGCTCAATAGAAAATATTCTCACCCTGAAGTAACATGTACACTTAGGAACATGTACCATTTCCCTTGTCACCTCATCCAACGAGGTTAAAAACCTTCCGGTTTTCCTTCCAAGCCTTCCAGGCACACAGGGAGGTGGAGGAAGGTGCACGACGTATCAGGGAATTGGCACCTGGGGCCTCAGCTAGAGCATTTGCAAAGGGCTCCTTCCCCACCCCACAGCTTCGCATTTTGTCAGCAGTCCTCACCGCTTAACCGCTCTCGCTGCAGTCGATGTCAGAAATGTCAGAAAAAAATATGTGGACATGTGCAAATGGGAAGGAAAGAGGCAGTTTCGCATTCATGAGAAACTTGACCAAGATGCTGAGAGAAAATTCACAGCTGGATGCAGAGAAGTTTGCTGCAAATAGCCAGCCCTGTCCTGCCACCGTTAAATCTGGAAATGCAGAGCAAGCAGAAGGATAAGGGAGCAGATAGGCAGAGCTGCGTAGCATGCAGCAAGGTCTCTGCCAGTCTCAGTACTTAAATCTCTTTTTTGCAGAAACCACAAGTTCCCTGATTTCAAATCCTTTCTAGCTTTTACAAAGTAAGTGTGATGGATGTCTGTGGTTCGCATAGGCGGCGACTCCCACCCTGCGGCCTTACTGGCCTGCCCTAGCAGCATTTTTCATGAAAAAAAATGCTTTTCATTATGAGTCCAGATGTCAAAGAATAAAAGGCCTCACTTTTGTGGCCCCGGGTTCAGGTTAAAAGGTGACAGAAGGATCCTTCAGGGTGTTTCAGTGCTAAACCGCTTGGACTCGCAGCCTTTTGGGAGCTCAGTTTTGTGAACTATGCCAACAATACCTATAACACCAAGTTTTGAAGACTGAAAACCCGTGTTTGACTTACACTTGCACAAGGGAAAACTTGTTCCGATGGCTGAACTCACTAAACAGCTTCCCAAAGATGATTCCCTTTGGCCTGAGTCTGCCCATGAGAACCAGGAGCCCAGGGTGTGGGCTAAGCAAATGCACCAGAGCAGGTTCTTCAGGACTGAGGCAGGTGGTCTCCAATCAAGATTTTTGCCCCATCTCCCTGATGTTTCTAATAGGTGGATTCTAATCCTTTACGTTATTATGTGGTTTGCTACTGCTCGACTCCTGTCTGTTTTTTGGGGGGATGCTGCCTATTCCAAGCTCACCATCTACTGCTTCCCGTGAGCCAGCCCTGAGCGCCTGGACCCTCCGGGGTGGTAGGCCCTGAACATGGCCAGGGTAGGAGAGAACACTTCTTCTTTTCCCATTTACAAATCTGAGAAATAAATTAGAATTTCATTTGGAAGATGAGCACTCACATTGCAACAGAAGTCAAATTCAGTGCTAGCAAATTTGAGAACTGTGTGTTTGAGGCTCCCCATTTTGAAGGATGCTTCGTAGCACCTTGTACTGTTTGAGATTGGTGGAATTGACACAAGTTCTGCTTTCAAGAACATTCCACAGTTCTGGTGCATGGTAACATTTTTCTAAGAGACTGCTGCTCATTTGGAATGTATCATTTCATCAGTTTGGACCTGAGGTGTGTGAAGATAGAGGGTCGCTAGCTAGTGGAAATGGAGAGAAAACCATGAGAGGCTTTCCTGGCTCATTTTGTATTTGTTTTTCATCAAAGTGTGGATGGAAGTGTTGAAATGTGGGCGCTCTCTGGGAGGAGGAGTGCACGGCTGGGGGGTCTGCCTCCCTGCACAGACACGGGTTGTTTGCTGCCTGCTGGATCGAGCTTGCCTACAGTGTCCTCGGGGCATTTCTGCTAAATGGCAAGACACTTTCTATTAAAAGCTCTTGACTCGTATTCACTCTTGGCCCCAAACGGAGTTCTGCTTTTTCCTCTGGCTTAGATGTGGCAACATGAGTTAACATGGGAATTAGGGTGATTTATTTAACCTAAGCACAAATGCCTTTTTTTTTTTTCCTCAGTCTTGGTTTATGCAGCCTGCTGTCTTACTCTGGAGCTTTGTTCACTGCAGATATATATACTAAAAGCACTAATAAAAACGTCTAATAATAGCCTCAGGGAAGGATGTTTCAAATTGTGCAGCTGTGTGTGAATGTTAGTTCCACATGGCTCCGGAGATTTAAAAGGATTCAACAACTGCTGGTGCTCTGAGGTTCTGTAATGGCTTCAGAGAGCACCAGGCCAACTAGTCAGGGTGACCCAAGCCTTGTTCAGAGCAGAGAGGGGTGAAGAGTCTTCTTGGGAAGGAACACTGTTTTGTGCTTCTCAGCCAATGTAGCCTCTCAATTTTGGAGAAGAAAGCTCTTCAGAGCTGGGCAGGAGAATGAAATGCCCTAGCCTAGGGACACCTCAGTGCCTGAGTTTCTAACCGAACTTCTGAGTTTGTTGGAAACACCCTGCGCTTGATGGTTGCAGTCCTCTGGCACTGCTGATGGCTCAAAAATGAGAGTCAGACCCTACTGAGGTCTTCTGTCCATAGAGCATCCCTTTCCTGCTGGAAGACAGCACATGTTTGGGGTAATTTTTTGCTCGTTCCAATTTCCCAAACGTTTTGCAGCAGAAGAGCTATGGAGTTGGGCTCTTAGCTCGGTGCAGTGGGATCCACGTGTTGTTGGAGAGCAGCGCTGTCACCTTGGAGATGACCATGTGAGAGCAGTGGGGCTCTGCTTGTCACAGACTTGACCTGCTGTCAGTTGTGTCCTAGTGTAACAGCAATGCAGGAATCTGGGAAATCATAGAATCACAGAATGCCGAAGGTTGGAAGGGACCTCTAGAGGTCATCTAGTCCAACCCCCCTGCATACGCAGGGTCACCTAGAGCACGTGGCACAGGACTGCGTCCAAGCGGGTTTTGAAGATCTCCAGAGAAGGAGACTCCACAACCTCTCTGGGCAGCCTGTTCCAGTGCTCTGGCACCCTCACTGGAAATGAGGGTGAAGTGAAACTACTAGAGATCTCTAGCAGTTTGCTCTTGTTTTAACCTGATGTCTCAAGCAGGTTCTGGGAGATGATGGTGGGTGGGAGGATAGTGGGGGACCAAAGTAGGCGCTGTGCTGTGAGGCAACTGTCATGTGTTCGTGATCAAGTACTCTCCCTGCCTTCTCTGGTGGCGTGTGGACAGGAACGGCCCACGCAACATTTGCCATTTTACGAACAGACTTTTCTGCTGCCAAATTTGGGCTACAAGCTTGATGTCTTGCAGAAAGCTTCCAAACATGCAGCAGTAACAGAGCCAAGGAGACAGCAGAGCTAGTGTGACAGCGTGAACTCTCTGAGGGCCCAGTTCATGATCTGCCTACTCTTTTGTGAAGACTTGGAGCCTATTTCAACCCTTTCTGCGGCAATTTTCTGCAAGTGTGAGAATGGGCAGAGCGCAGAGGCAGGAGATGCCCAATACACACAGAGCAGCCCTGCGGTCTCATCTTCTGAGCCCTCTAGAGATGTGCTAGAATGCTGTGGTAGATGTTGAGTGGTCAGCATTGCAGGACTTGTAGACCAGAGATCAGCAACACCCTCTTGAGAGCAGGGGAAGAAGGACGTAGACAGAAGGGATAGAGCGTTATGTGGCCATGGCGAATGAGGTCTAACCAACCTGTCACCTGGAGTTCCCTGGTTGAGGGCCAGCAGGTCCGGCCCAGCTCCAGTTTTCTGGAGAATTTTAGCTGGTTTTTAGTCCTGGCTGTACCACCAATGAAGCTCTGGGTGTCTGTGAGTGTGGCAGCCACTATCAGCCTGCTGTGAATTATAGTCATCCATGGGATTGAAGCTGTCCGGGTGCAGAGTGGCAGCACACGTGCAGCTTTTTCATCCAGGCTTTCCTGAATTCTTATTGTGGATAAGCCCCCTGGCCCCAGGACTGGTGATGGGCTTTCCTGGCACAGCAGTTTCAGAGGAGGAGAGGGGAGGCTGCCGGGAAGAAGTTCTGGGTGTGAGAGCTTGTCCCCTCACCAAGCCCTATGTACCCTTGGTACCGTTTGCCAACCAGCACCCTAGAAGAGCCCAGGAGAGCTCGTGGGGTCTGGGAGCTGTTACTACAGATGTGGAGCAGAGTCCCAACCCACCCCCTGAGCAAGGCAAGTGCACAGCTGGAGAGCAGCTGGCAGCAGCACGTGGTTATAGCAGCCGCCAGCTGCCTGCGAGAGTGGAAACGGGGAGAAATGGAACCGGAGAGTGAGGAACACCCTGCGCCCGAGCTCCTGCCAAGGGAGCGGAGCGGGAAAGTTCACAGCACCTGGCACTGGAAAAAGGCTGATGGCTCCAGGGTGGATCCAGGAGCCTGTCTGAGCACATCGGGTGGATGGCTGCCCTTCTCATCAAAAGGACTGTTGTTTCTGCCACAACTCCTGGCCCTCTGAGATGCAGATGTGAATATTTAACTTAGTCAGTTTGAAGGTTTATTGCAGAGGAGAAGCATTAGAGAACTTATATTCCTTACCTCATATGTTTTAACTAGCATTTACTTATTGTAAGAGCAATAGTGGGACAGGAAAAGTCTGGGAACAAGCAGATCAGAAAAGCCATGGGAGGTGGAAAGAAATGTCCTCAAAGGAGGAGTGCTGTGCTGTGCCGGGGAGGCTGGGTGCAGGGCTGGGCATGGTTGCATCAGGGCGCCTTAGAAGCAGGGAAGCACATGTGCACCTTGCCTGCGTCTGAAAATCCCCCCTTTTTTCCCAAGCTTTTTATTCCATTGCATAGGAGAGAGATTGGTTTAAATCTCCCAAGAGGGTGCATTGGTCTTAAGCAGTCTGGGCCTGGACTGCTGTCCTGAGGGGGACTCTGTGGGCGCCTGGCTGAGTTCAAACTACTTGCTGGACAACAGCTCTCTGGATGTTGTAAAACTCAGTCTGAGCAAGGAGGAGGAGAGCTGAAACTCCCTCTGGAGAAGAGAAAAGCAGAGATGCTGCAGTGGTATGAAAGGGGCTCTGCTCCAAGGGAGAGAAGTTTTGAGAGCATTTTTTGTCAAACAGGTTTTCCAGTTAATTCCACTTTTGAGCTGCAAGCAGAAATCAAATGGAGGATTTACTTGCTGAGAGTGCAAGCCGAGATGAGCAGTTCTCTTCCAGTTGTGCCTGGCTTCCAACACAGAGCTCCCCTTTTTCCTCTTGATCTTTCAGACCCATCTTCCTTCTTTCTTTAGCTCTGGATGCCTCCCTCACCCCCTTTCCAACGTGGCCTAACTATTCCCAGCTCTCTGCAGTGTGGAACGTAAAGGAGTGGAGGTTGGAATCTGAAAAGTGTGAGTGTCAAGAAAGCCTTGGGAAATAAAGTTAGTTCATTCTCAAAGGCACTCTGTACATCTTCCCCAAGCATCACTTTTGATTTGTTTGATGAATTTAAATATTACCCTGATTTTACCTTAACTTATTTTATTTTTGTGGAAAACCATAGACTTATATGATTTTTTGTCGTGGGAATATTGGGAGGAAATATTTAGAATATGTTGAACCTTCTTTAGAATGAGAAATTAGCTTTCAAGTCCACTTTTCACTTGAGAGTTTTTGCATGTTTTGAAAGAAAAATACTTCAAATTTATTTCATTCAGATGAATTATTTTTAGATACCATCCTCCAATGGTAGACATACTTTATGACCAAAAAAGAAAAAAACATCATAATTGGGAGCACAAAAGCATCTATTTCTCTTCCCATTTTATTAGGTGAACCCATACTTATAGCCAGCATTAGGCTGGTCTGGAGAGGTAAGAACAAAAGACAAGCACATAGAGAAGTTGATTTTGTTTCCAGCTCTGGGTGTTTTTGTAGCAAAGCAAAAGAGGGAGCTTTCAGAAACAGCTTAAAAATGGAAAAGATTCTTCTGAAAATACTTCCAAATAAGAGGCCTTTCACTGGAGCACACTCAGTGTGTTGTAGTGGCATAGGGAAGAGTCTGAGGCAGAGGGCTGTGGAGTCCATGATGGGCCCAACACGATGGATGGAGATGCAGAGAGCCCTGCAGAGATGGATGAAAGGGAGTGAAGAGGCAAGGAGAGAGGCTGAAAGAAAGGAGGGTGAGCTTTATGACAGCAGAATAGCTGAGAATAAAATAGGAGGAAGATAAAGCAGCTCGGTGAGGCAAAACGTACTGGAAAGGAACAGTGAGGATATTTTTTCCTCTTCTATTTTACTATAAATGTGAGAAACACACTGTGTGGAGAGTATTGGATGTATGTGGGCAATTGCACTTCCCAGAGGAGTGTCCTGTAAGTGAGGCTGGTTAAGGATTGTGCTGGTGACTTCTTGGGAACGTGTTTAGGAGAATCATGGGGTTTGTGTACTTCTCTGGGAGGAGAGAAGGGAGTCCTCGGACTCCAACAGTCAAGGATACAGTGCTTGGTCATTCCTTCTGTGCCCAAGGTTACTGCAGGCAGAGGTAGCAGAAGGAGATGCACATGCCCATTGGTGTTAAATGGCACGCTGAGTGCTGAAAGTGTCCCGGGGGGTCAACCTTCACCATCTGCTAGTGCTGGACTATCTGAAACATCAGAGATGTGCAGCATGTTCAGAGATGTGCAGCATGTTCTGCTCTCCCAGTGGAGTCATTGGGGCAGGATTCTCCACGAGAGCAACAGGGACTGGTAGCTCTGCAAGCAGCTCTGGCTACGGGCACCAGAGATCTGTCAAACTTCAGCAGGCTCTTTGAAGGTGACCTCCTTTGGATAGATTAATCAAATATTAATTGTGACACTGAAGTGGGGTTTGTCTCGCTTGGTTGGAGACCTCTTCATCCAAATGAGCAGGCTGGACTTCCTTCATATAAACAGCAGTGAGAAATAAGTGTGTCTGTAATATCTGGTGTAGTGAAATACTTGCTGAAAGTGGTGATTTTCACCTCTTTCAGGTCTGTTCCTTTCCAATAATTACAGAAGGATTTTAAATGATAAAATAACAACTCTGTTCAGTCTTGCTCTGAACAGAGCAAGAATCCTATCTCTTATAGCATTTTACCACAACTTTTTCACTACTGATAATTTCAATAGAAATAACCAGTCCATATGTTGATCTCTACCAACCTGAAATCCCTGTAGGTGCCACTCAGCCTCCAAATCTCTTGCTTTTCTCTAGAACCTAGAGTTACCTAGTTATGGTATTTCCAATTTGTGTCACTAGAATCAACATAACAGTAGCATCACAAGAAAGTATGTTAAGTTAAATAAAGAATTGAGCAGAGCCCCTTTGTTTGGAATTGGCGTTATCGTTTCGAAGTGCTGTAGACTTTAGGAAAAAGTCACAGCAAAGTGTCTGACCTTATGGCTTATAATTACATCTTGGGGTGACTGTTCTAGGACTGTTTATGCTCTTTGCTCCCTGCTGGAGACATCTCATAGGTTACAGCAAAATCAGGCTTGTGCTTTCCTGTATTTTGGCTCTTGCACAGTGGATACTTGCACTTTTGCATATGAACAATAGATTTCTTCTGTTTCATTGATACAGAATGTATCAAGGTATATTTTTTCCCTTAAAACATAGATACATATTTCTGATATATTGTAGCAACAAAAATTACTCCGTGTGCGTCAGGCATTTCCATGCAAAATTGTTTATATGCCATATGCTCGCATTTGTCCTTTCTGCTGTTACAAAATACAGTGGCACAGCATACATGGTGGCAGCATGCTGGCATACCTGCAGGTAAAGAAGGAAGCTGCAATGTTGACGTATCCCTCCACAGCTTGGTAGTACATCTGCCAGCCAAAGCACTCAGCTCCTACTGTTTAAACTGAGCAACTGCAAACACGAACGATGAGGTTGATGCATTGGAAAAAAAAAGATTTTTCAGCCTACTTGGCAGATTAGAACTAAGCCTATGTTGCAGCTTACACAGGAATCGTACATCCAGCGCTTCCCTGGCTCCAGCTCATCCATATGACTCCGGCAACACGGCTCTCCTGCTCTGCTCTCAGCCTTCTGGCACAGCTCTGATTTCTGTGCTTCCTCCCCTGCACCTTTGCTTACCCTGCCAACTTGCCAGCACTGAGCCCAGCAGCACTCGCCATCCCCCAGTCTTGCTGCACTTGGTGACAGCAACAAAAAGTTCGCCGACCTCCCCACAGGAATGTCTTTGTGTCCTGGGTTCCAAGCAAAAGGATTTTTCACAGCCCAGTGTTCCCTGTCTTATTCCAAAACGGCACCAGGGGCTGGAATTTGACAGAACGGGGTATAAAATGAATTCACATTACTTTGCGTTGAGATTTAAAAGAACAAGAATATGCTTAAAGCAACCTGCAGCAGGCATGGGCTAGGACACCCTGCTGCTGGTCAGCGTGAGGCTTCTCAAGTCATTAGTTGACTACGATCCCACTCGTACAAAGACACCTGCAGGTGCTTCACTTTAGTGCTTGAGCTTGACCTTCTCACGGGTGCAAAGTGAAGCACATGCCTACATGCTTGACCCGAACTCAGGAAGCAGACATGTGCCCTAGCACTGCCCCGAGTCCCAGCCTGGACCTCGACGGTTGGGCTCTAAGAATGCGCTGTCGAGTGCCCAAGTTGGCCAAGGTGACATGGCCTGGGCGCTGGGACACCGCACAGCTACTGTACAAACTCAAGTATGCACGTGTGCTGCTTCCCTGCATACTCTGTGTAATTCTTCTGAACTGATTTCTCCCAAACAGAACCTTACACCTGTGGAGCTTGTGGAATCCAGTTCCAGTTTTATAACAATCTCCTGGAGCACATGCAGTCCCACGCAGGTAAGCTGGGCACTTTGACTCGCTTAGAGCGGAGAATCAAATTCTGCGCTGCTGCCTGACGTTGACCCCGTTGTGTGTCAATAGAGCTTCCCGTGCTCACGGTTTCCCCAAGCCCCAGTAATTTCACCTGCAGGAAAAAAAGAAAAAAAGAGAAGAAAGATACTCAAAGCCTGGAGCACATAGCAGTGGCTGCAACGGTGCAAGGCTCAGGGTGTGTCATATATTTTATTCCTTTGCATAGAAAGAGCAGAGAAACGTGTGCCACGCTAGCATGGAGCGCTTCAAACTCCCCATTGTCCCGAGGTACCAAGGAAATGCTCATTTCATAGGTATTAATGGGTCACTCGCTTTGACAGCAGATAATACCCCTCCTCCTGCAGAAAGGGTAGTTCTCATAGAAGCAAACAGAGCAAAACAGTCTTGCAGGGCAGCAGAGCCTTTGTCTACACAAGTCTCCTCTTGTGTTTCCTCGAGTTCGACAAAAGATTGAAGTGTTTTCGTAAAAAAAAAGGGTGCAATTTCAGAAGTTGTGTTCATTTCATGCTAACCTCTCTGCAAAATAGTACTCTGAGGAATAACAATTATTTTGTTCCTAATACATCTCTTGTTTTCTACCTGAATATCTAAGAGAAGATTTTTAGATTTCAAAACAAAAGCTGTTTTGAACACAGCATTCGAAATATTCAAAAATGTCAAAACAGACTCTTTGGCATATTAATAGAATTATCTGGGTTTTTTTCTCCTGAATGAAAACTAAATTGAGGCAGGTTTAGAAATTATTTCACCTTTGATAGGCTGGTGTTCTCCAACAGACAGATGCTCTGCTAAGGGATATATTCAGTGCTTGCATTTACGTTCACTTTATAAATAGGCCCTGAGTAATGTGGCAAGGAAGGACAAGCGGCTCAAGGGAAAGCGTATTTTCAGTTCTGTGACACTGAATTAATAGAAGTTCTTATTTTGTTTCATGTTTTAATTTTAATCCTAGTTTATATGAAAGCGTTCTTTGAGTTCTTCATCTGTAAAGATGTTTCCTCAAGTGAAGTTCTCATTGGTTATCGTTCATGTGCCGTTCAGCAGCTCCTTTATTTGTCATCTTCATAATATTAGGAACAGACGCTTAGAGCGGTTTATTATGAAACTCTATGGGTTATCTTTGGGGATGTTATGTTATGTTAGAGTGCGAGCTGGTTAGCGTGGAGTAATTGGACTTTATGCACACGGAGGAGCAGTGAAGCTCACGTCAGGGTTGTGGCTGTCAGGGGTCCGTGCGGACGGGGTCTGTCCTTGCCGTTGGTCAGAGGCAATCTCTGCGTGCCTTCCAGCTGTGTCGTGGCCACCTTGGTCCCTGTTCTGGTTTCCAGTAATGAATGCAGCATTTTTAGTTACAGCTCTTTGGTGACACTGTAGAGAAGAGGAGCTGCAGAGATGGAACCAAGGCTAGGGGTATCAAAGGGAAGAATGACGGTTCACCAGCAAGGTGTGAGATGCTGAGAAGTTTAGGCTAGTGCTATCTGCAGCTTCCTCCTTCTCTCCTTCACAAATGACCCAGGGCCTCCAGGCTTGTCCACCTCGGTTACTTTGGACAAGGAAAAGGTCTGAAGGAAGCAGGTATCTGTCATGTGTAGCATTAGCAGACATGCACGTGGATCAATGTGTAATCCCATCTTCCCCTACTCAGGGTTATTCTGGTTGAGCTGTATTTTCTCACCTCTCCCTGCTCTGTCTGTTTGTTAGTCGCTGTGTTCTCCTGAGCTCCTTCCCTCAGTGTCTCGATGGTACAGTGACAACAAACATGTCTTTGTCTTCCTGGAATGCTTTCTGCAGCCCATCCACCAAACCGCCCCATGTGAACAAGCAGCCTGTCCTTTCCTGTACATGATGCTTGCCTGTGTGTGCTGTGCTGTGCTTAGGCCTCTTGGTCTGGAGGAAATATCAACTTTTCCTCCAAATCCATGCAACTTCATGTGAGCTCTGCCATATTTTTTTTCCAGCTCTTGTGGGATGAGGGTAAAACAAAATGATGAGGCGTAAGAACCGCAGATGGCTTTGGTGGGTGTCTGGTTCTGGAAATCTTCCTTAATCAGAGCAGACTGATTAAGCAACCTTTTAGCCTGTTAGCACTTAGGGATATCCAAGAAACAGTCACTGCTCAGCGCCAGTATCTCTTTGGTCTGAGAGGCCTTGCAGTGGTCAGCAGAATTGGTGGCAGGGGGTCCCCATACTGGCCACGCTGGCATAGCAGCAGTTTGCACAAGAAAATTTGCCCGTGCTCAAGAAATGCTTCAAACCTCTCTCAGCTAGTGCATTCAGAAACCCAGTTTGGCTTGATCATCTTTGAGGCAAATGGTTAATCTGTGCCAACTTAAAGTAATGTGTGATTGAGCCCTTCTCGGAAGTGACTAAAGAGAGGGAATGCACTGCTGGCTTTGAGGAGCAAATGCAGGGACATACTGGCACTTCTGTCATGCAGAGGGCTAAATCTGGAGGCTGAAAGGTAATAAGGGGAAATTATAGCTCCATAAAACAGCTACACAATGAGAAGAAGCAATTAGAATGTAAATTGGAGGTTGAAAGGCAGAAATAGAACAGCAGAATACAAAGCAAAAGAATTTGTTCTGTAATTATACTGTGCAATGTACAGCTTTGACTCCCTTTAAGATACTTTGTTCAGGTTGAATGCTACCATATAATGCCTTCCCTAAAATCTAGAGCTAAAAAATAGAAGGGCAACTAAGGATGAACCTGGATTAAAGGATTGGAGGCATGAAGAGAAATTAAAGAAGCATGATCTGTATAGTTTGTAGACTGCCTGATAAGGAAGATGAGACTGAAGTACACAAATCTCATTAATGCCATATGGAATGCTAACGGATATTTGCACATAATTAATCCCCTGTTATTGTGAAATAGATAAAGTGTTGGAGGGGAGGAAAAACAGAGGATGTCTCCCACCATTCCTCCTACCAAGACAAGGAAGCCTTCATGTTCATAGGCCTGAACCGAAGTGAACCACTATAAATGAACAAACTTAGTGGACAGCCTTCTCCTTTGCCTACCTGCAGATGTTGCAGTTGAGGCCACTTGTGGCGTAAGCTGTAGAGCAAATGCTGGGGGGAAACAGATGTGCTGTATCTGCTGTCATTCACTGGAGCTGGTCCCTTCCACACCCGCCTCTGACTACACTCCTGAGAATGATAGTCCTTCCAAAAAAACCACCGTGACACCATACCCTGGATTGTCCGGGCATGTACAGTCCTCTGGGCAGTCCCAGGATCTACCCTGGTTGGGCTCTGGCTCTGTGTTTTCCTGTGTTTCTGGACTTGATCTGCAGCTGTTCTTCAGCTAGATTTGAGCTAGAATGTGGAGCAGCTCAAATTTGAGAGGACTTGTTTGTATGGAAGAGAGCAGTAGAGTTTCTTCACAACATTGCTTGTCCCTGGGCTCTTGCCGATCTCTCCAGGTCATTGCCATGCACAAAGGAAAGTAACTTTGCCCTCTCCTGTTCATTCTGATGCCCACTGCTCTGCCCTCTTGAGCAGGTTTCATTTGACTGAATGTTGGTATTTGGAGACCGTAGATGTTACCACCTGAGCTGGTCACCTTCCACTCCCTTTTTAATCAGTGGAGAGGAGGTCACTGTTTCCAGGTGAGTTCAGAGTATGATAGATCTCATACTACAGGAGTCAGCTGGTTCAGGCTGGATGAATGAATCACTCTCTGTTTTGCACTGCTGAGTGTAAAAGGAGTCGCAAGGGACCATCTTGAGAAGAGGTGCCTCTGATAGAGATGTCCAAAATCAGGTGAGATAAGCCCAGCTGTGATGAGAGAAGAAATTGTTCTGTCTTACTTGTTTTTAATTTCATCTCTCTACTCAGCCTAGTCATCTCTCTCATTATTTCTCCTTCTTCCACCTCTCTTCATTTTACACTTTATTTTTGCTACCCAGCTTATTTCATAGCCTATTTCATCTTGTAGTAGAGTATACTAAGAACAGGCAAACTTCACCAGGGTGGGGGCAAAGCTCTTGGGCCCAGGAGAGGAAAAGGTGTGAATACAACAAAAAATTTACTGTTCTTGACCTGAAAAATCCCATAAAGCTGGCAAAGTGTTTAGCCACCACATATAAGGAAAATGAACACAAAGACTCCTAAGGGAGTTGCTATCTTTGCAGCCTTAAGGAGGAACATGTTTTGGTTCCTTTCCAAAAATATATTTTTTTCTTTTTTTTTTTTCCAGTCTGAGGCTGAAATGGACAGCCTGAGAGGAGACTGGACCTCTCGCTAGAGTGGGAAGTTTCTGAAGGGGCTCAATTTGGTGTGGAAACTGAAGTAGTTGCAGTAAAGAAAAGAGAAGTCAGCCACAGGGCAGAGAGTCAGTAGGGCAAAGAAAGAAGGATGAATGTGTTACATTTGCTTTCATTTCCAAAACAAGCAAATGGCACAAGACAGGCTGCAGAAGCAACATCATGATTTATTCCCCCTAGTGTGCAGCTCCAGTTGCCTGAGAGATGTTTCTCAAGCTGTGCTGATGGCATCAGTAACACTGATCAGCTGTGCTGATGCCAAAAAACCCTGTGTCAGTTCAGCTGTGCTTTGGGAGGTGATGGGGTTTTCAAGGTTCTAATTGGGTTGTGTTATCTCACTGAAAACCACTTCACAACTTAAGAGAGCATAGTAGATTGATGTCACGAAGAGAAACACAGGTGTAAATGCTAAGCTGATGGATATTATTTCCCCTTCTTTGTGCTTTAAGCATTAGTATCTTGTGCTTCTAACACATCCGTGTCTCTTGTCCCACAGCTGACAATGAAAACAATATCGCCTCTAGCCAGCCCAGATCACCTCTAGCTGTTGTTGAAGAAAAGTGGAAACCACAGCTCCAAAGAAACAATGCCAACAATAGTACGTAGTGCTGTTTGCTCTTCTGTCCTGGGCTTACCTCTCAGCTTTGAGGCAGTGATTCTTCCAGAAATGGTTGCAGCACTGACTCGGGCATGGTACAGTGTCTTCACCTGACGGTGCTTGATTTCATGTGTAGTTCATATGGTACCCTGCAAAGCAGAACACCTATACCCCTTACAAAAGTGCTGGGAACCCCTGGTTAAAGCCAGCTTCTGATTAAAGATCAGCCTGGAGTTAAGAAATGACTCCGTTTGGCACTGTGTGGTATAGGCATAACCTGTTGCTTCATGTGGCAGGCAGACATGTGTGGATTTATCCCCAACTTCTCCTCTGAACTTAATTTCAACACAGATAATACGAAAATACAGCCCCAAGCAAAGGCAGTTTGTAAGCTCTGGAGCTAAGCAGCTGGGGAGAAGGGTGATAAGAAAACACGGTGTTTTATATGGCCAAAAGTGACATTCATTTAGCTCAGAATCAGTGATAAAAAGTGAATCAGTGATATCAGTGTCAGTGATAAAAAGATAAACCACTGGTTGACAGAGGAAGAATTTGGAAGTAGTGCTTCAACACATTTAAGGTGGTGGAGGAAGCAACTCCTCCAAAAAGAACTGATTCAAAACCAAGGCCTAACTTACAAAAAGCAGGAGGAAGCTCAGCCTTCCAGCTGTGCTAACTACATGAGTAGAGCTGTGATTACAGTAGACATGATTTGCAAACAGCTCGCATGGTTCAAGCTTACCTAGGCAGTTCCTAAATGAACAACACAAAGATGCTGCTGGTGAGGCACTGAATTCTGAATAGATGTGAGCTCAGTTTCAGTTCCCCTGTCAGGGGAAGCATGCAGATAAGCTCCTTGTCCTCTAAGCAAGGACAAAACCTATCCCTGGAAGTGCCTCCATCCAGAAACACTTTAGGAAAGAAATCCAGGTTGGAATTGCCTCTTTCATCATCTGGGCATGTTCTACCTGCTGGGTGGTATAGGCCACTGGACCTCCTGAGGTCTCTGTCAGAATTGTTGTGTGACTTCCCCCCGGCTCCTGTTGCAGAGGAGCAATTCTCATCTGGTGCTTTCTCTCCCTCCTTATATCTCCCTGCAGCATCCGCGAGTGGTTCGGTAGGCAACAGCGCGATCCCAGAGAAGGAGCGGCAGAACATTGCCGAGAGGCTCCTGAGGGTGATGTGCACTGACCTGGGGGCTCTGAGTGTGGTGAGCGGGAAGGAATTCATCAAGCTAGCACAGACCCTGGTGGACAGCGGAGCTCGCTATGGTGCCTTCTCAGTCACCGAAATCCTGGGCAATTTCAACACGCTGGCTCTGAAGCATTTGCCTCGGATGTACAACCAAGTGAAAGTCAAAGTCACCTGCGCCCTGGGCAGCAACGCGTGCCTTGGCATAGGTGTCACTTGCCACTCTCAGAGCATCGGTCCTGATTCTTGCTACATCTTGACAGCTTATCAGGTGGAAGGCAACCACATCAAGAGCTACGTCCTGGGAATTAAAGGTGTAGATATTCGAGATAACGGTGATTTTATCCACCATTGGGTGCAGAACGTGCTCTCAGAGTTTGTGATGTCAGAGATCAGGACGGTGTACGTCACAGACTGCAAAGTCAATTCCTCTGCGTTCTCCAAGGCAGGCATGTGCTTGCGGTGTTCGGCCTGTGCCTTGAACTCAGTAGTGCAGAGTGTGCTGAATAAGCGAACACTACAGGCTCGCAATATGCACGAAGTAATCGAGCTCCTGAATGTCTGTGAAGATTTGGCAGGATCCACAGGCCTCTCAAAGGAGACCTTTGGCTCCCTGGAAGAGACCTCGCCCCCTCCCTGCTGGAACTCAGTGACCGACTCCCTCCTGCTCGTCCATGAGCGCTACGAGCAGATCTGTGAGTTTTACAGCAGGGCCAAGAAGATGAACCTCATCCAAAACCTGAACAAGCATCTGCTCAGCAACCTTGCAGCCATTTTGGCTCCGGTGAAGCAGGCGGTGATTGAATTGAGCAACGAGAGCCGGCCCACCTTGCAGCTCGTACTGCCCACCTACGTCAAACTGGAGAAACTGTTCACTTCCAAAGCCAATGACGCTGGCGTAGTCAGCAAACTCTGCCACCTCTTCTTGGAAGCGCTGAAGGAGAACTTCAAAGTCCATTCGGCACACAAGGTAGCCATGATCTTAGACCCCCAGCAGAAGCTGCGGCCCGTCCCGCCATACCAGCATGAAGAGATAATTGGCAAGGTCTGTGAGTTGATCAATGAGGTGAAAGAGTCCTGGGCAGAAGAAACAGAATTTGAACCATCAACCAAGAAAGCGCGGGCAGCAGGGGAAACCACAGCAGCTCAGGAAGAAGATTGGTTTGGGAAAAATGAAGTTTATGATTATTTACAAGAACCTCTCTTCCAGACCACCCCTGACCTGTTTCAGTACTGGTCGTGTGTTACCCAAAAGCATACAAAACTAGCCAAGCTAGCCTTTTGGCTCTTAGCAGTGCCTGCTGTTGGTGCCAGAAGTGAATGTGTAAATATGTGTGAGCAGGCTCTCTTAATCAAAAGGAGACGGCTACTCAGTCCAGAAGACATGAACAAACTCATGTTTTTGAAGTCCAACATGCTTTAAGACTCACTTTTAATTAAAACAAAACTTTAAAACACTGTTCCAAACAAAGAAAAAGAATTTTAAGTTCTAAACACTGTGGACCTCATTATGAATGCCCCTGGAAACCAAGTGCTTTTTTATATATATAAAAAAATATAAATATATATAAAATTAAGTTTGAAAGGAAAGCTGAGCACGTGAGAGAGACAGCCCTCTGCCAGGAACGTGCTCCTTTCCATAGATAGTGTGTGGACTTGACAGACTTTCTAATGTTTTCAAGTGGGCAGACCAGTGGGAGGCTGATGTTCTAAAGTCTTCAGGCAGCTGAGATCTAAAGTGACTTGAAGTTTCTTTTGTTTCTCCTCCACCCCACCTTTTTCCTCTTGTTCCCTGGGCCATCTTGCCATGGATAATCAGACTACATTGAACAGACCAGTTCTGCACTGGACTTTGCTCCTTTGAATAACTGTACACCTTGAGGGCATTTGTCTTCAGCCTTCTTGACATACGGTGCATGTTGTCAGGGCAGCTGTGTTTTACGAACACCAGTATCTTTAGAAATCAGGAAGGGAGACTTCAAGGATTTATTTTATTTTATTTTAATTTTAACTTTTTCATTTAAGGATTTCCCAGACAACAAAAGTTACTCTTCTGTCTCCACTCCCAGTTTTGAGTTTAACATGTTAGCTCTAGTGATTACAAGCTTGATTTAAAATTACGAGAAATGATTCATGGCAGAAAACATCTGTTAACATTTCTTGGAATTTTTTTAACATAATTTCTTTTCTAAATTCCCAGTGTAAATTAGCTTGTCTGTGAATTCTGCACAACAGGGGTTCTCAAGCTTGTTCACAGAGCAGCTCATTTATGATTAAATAACATATTTTTGGAACCACAGCAGTTGCTTATGTGGAAAAGCTGGAAACCAACAAAACCAAGCAAGCAGTGGCAATGCTGGTGTCTGCAGGGCATCAGAAAGCTTGTTGGGGTCTGATAGCTGCTGTTGAGAACCCTTGTGCCTAAAATTTTTGTAAACCTTCCCTGTACACACACTCAAAATAGCCTTCACATGGCCAAGGACAAACCAAGGTGTATGATTTTTCAGGGGAACAAAGATCATCAGTTTTGTGAACTTGGGGTTTGAAGGAAGCTTAAGAGAAGTGCATCAGCTCAAAGATCCTTTTGAATGTAAGTGCTCCTAATTGAGTGCAAAGAATATTTTCCCATTTTATTTGGAATGGTTTCCTCTAGTAGCACGAATGTCTTTTTAATACCTATAGTGCATTACACTACTTGTTATGTTGTTGAATCGTTCTGGCTAGGAAGGCCACAGGCCCTTAAACATTCACATGTACTGGCTCACCCCAAATGCAATTAGAGATCATCATAAAGCAAAAACATCTCAGTCACTCTGTTGTCAGCCAAGGCCAGCGCTCAGGTGTGCCCAGTGCCTGTAGGCACAGTTCAGTGGGCTGCAGGACTGGATTTCTGCAGGCTCTCAGATTTGGTGCCTCTTGGATGATTCCCAACTTCTGGTGCCAAACTGTTATTTTTTTTAATCACTGGGATTTGTATCCCAGAGGCCAATTGAGGCAAATTATTATTTTTGAAGTAATCTCTCCTTCTTCCAATAGTTTGCTCTGAAGTTGCAGTCACAGAGGCAGCAGAGCCGCACTGGAGGTTTAGGAGGATGGACTGGACAGCAGCACGGTCAGCCCTGACCAGGGACACTGCCCTTGAACAGAGCAGGGGTGTTTTCTGATTGCTGACAACGCCGTAGTGAGACTGGGGGCCTTCTTCAAAGTGCTGCTGTTGAACAGACATTAAGCCAAGGTCCCACCAGCCCATTTCTGGTTGCAGTAGAAGCTCTAAGACTCAAGACTGGAGAAATGGCAAACACGGTCAGCCAGCTCGCAGCTCTACCCACCCGGTATCTCAGGCCTTGTGTTCAGGTACCTTGATCCTCAAGCTTCAGACAAGAACTGTTTGCATACTAGAGACCTTCCCTAGATAGAGATCAGTGAGGATTAGCTCTTCACAGCCAGCTGTCTTCTCCAGGTGACTCTTGCCCTTTTGGCCTGGGAGGCTGGAGCTACTGTTAGCCAGAGTCCACATGTTGGGTTGGCAGCACCTCTCAGCCCTGTTAATGGTATCAGGGCAAAACCAACGATCTCCTATATGCAAGTTTTGGGTGTAGACATCCTAACCCACTTCTAAAAGACACAGTCACGCCAGCCTGCTGCCAACTTCAGGAGTAAGAGAACTTAAAGATGAACTGCCAACGAGGGGAGGCACTTGTAGGTCTGATTTCTCTGGTAGTGGCTTTCGCAGACCTGCTTGCTGTAGAGCCGTCACTTCTTGCTCATTTTATTTTCTCCCATATAAACACTACCTGCTTGGCAAGCACAGCTGGACACATGGGTAACACATCTGTGGGTACTTGCAGTGCGGGAGAAACTTGTAGAAATTCGCAGACTACAGAGAGGAAGAAAAAATAGCAGCCAAGAGCTTAACTGATTTTAAACCATTTGTGCTATGCTGTAGGTCCCACTGAGTAGGAAACAAGGAATGCTACAGCAAGAAAACTTCATTGAAGGAGAAGTCCAAAGCAAGAATAGCTTTTGAGGCTCTGGAGCATGTATTGTGCTGCCCAAAAGATGGGCAGATCTGGGCACAGGATCTATAGCTTTCTCCTAATGGCATGTTACATCTTTTTACCTGGCTAGCCTGAGACTCAAAGAGCCACTCACAAGCTCCTTGTCAATCTGGCAGGACACCTTTGCATTCCTTTGTAAAGAAAGCTCCAGAGCTTATCATGTTTATATCTGCAAAGCATAAAGCATGGGGAAGTGGGCAGATAGAACTAGCATAGGTTTAAGTGCTGGCATTAAGAATGAGGTGAGATTGCAGTGGTTTGTGCAACTATTTATGCCAGGTTATACATAGCAGTGGGCTGGACCTCGGCTTCACAGCCAAAGCATAGAATCAGAGGCTACCACCACCCTTAACTCCAGCCATTTGCCTCTTTCCTAGCTTACCGTATGGTCTTGGCATCAGATCTGGAGCTTTCTTGCTGTGATGAGCAGAGAGAGGGTCTGACTGGCTCTCTTCCCCCATCCAAGTTACTACCACCTCCAAGGCAACTTTGGTTCTGGTTGTGCTAGTACTAAGATGGAGATTAAGCAAATGCATTGCAATGTCTGTTAGGCACAATTCTCCCAAAGACTTAGAAACTCAACTTAGCAACTGAAAAAGCAAAATAAAACCTAAAATCCTAAAATTGAGTAACCTGGAAAATCAGTGAGAAGAAAAGCTGGCTGGCCAGCCGCTTCTCCATCTAGGCAATGGAAAATTGCATAGCTTTTCATGAGACTACTTAAAGTCACAGGGTATTTTGCTCAAAAGTGCTTATTAGTACTCTTTCAGATCACAGGCTGACATGTATCTGAAGTACGAGTGCCCCGTGCTTAGTGTCTGTTCAAAGGAGAGAAGCACATCTGGACCATGTGTACTTGCTCCACGTACAAAATTTTTGCTCTCGTTTCTCCTTCCCTTTTCAGGGATCATATTTTCATTCAGGAAGTGCAGATACTGTAGCAAGGTCTGAATTTCAGAAACTCTTCATTTGACTCAGCAGAAGTTCTCTCTGTAGAGCAGCACATGTGTAAGAAGAGCTACTCATCCTGTGACAGGAAGCAGGAAAGGGGAGAGGCTGGCAAGAGTTATCGTGAGATTCTTCTTCCTTTTAGTTGGGAGGAGAAGTCCTTGGAAGAGGGATCTCGCTGTGGTAATTGGTTTTGGGAATTTACCTTCCACTTGTTCTGTTTGACATTTGAAAAGTGTGTTTGGGACATGTAAAATGTCTCTGTCCTCCAAGAATTCATTTGTTTCTGCTGCTCGCTCCACACCTGACCTGCAGGCTTCTCTTTCTGACCTCACCGCTTGCTTGAGAATGGTTACAGTCTTCAGGTGAGGAGCAAGCACCAGCAGAAATGGACTGTTCAGAATGAAAGGCTTTCATGTCCTGTCTGAAGATCCTTGTTTCTAATAGAAAATGCAAGAAGTAGGAAACAAAGGTAGAATTCTTCAAAATCAAAGGTTGTTTCTGTGGGAATATGGCAGCCAGATGGTTAGTGGAGAAGAACGTGGAGCCCATCTTTTTTTCCCCTGTGTCTTTTCTCCTCTTCATATCTCTAGTGGTCTGGCTTGCAAGATGGGCTTGGTTGGTGTCTTGGAACCGACTAGGTTTCAGACAGAAGTAAATTTTTTTTTTGTCGAAGTATTTTCTGCTCTACGAAAACTGGTGTGGTTGGTTTGATATGAACTAGTGCAATCTAGAAAATTTTCTCCGAAAGCCTACAATGAGTTTAAGCTTTGCCTAACTCAGATGTCTGTTAATTACCAGTTAAACCAATGTATCTTTGAGATAAGCATCCACATAAACCACCTGCACTGGTTTCACTGGATTGTACTTGCTGGGTGTTTTCAGCTGCTGATTGGAGGACGCTTTCAGAAGCAGCTCAGGGAATGAGGACCTTTAAGTGAATTTTGCAAATGATTTTTTGGCAATTACGCTCAAAGACCCAAGAATCGGTGAAAACAGAGCAGAGACAATTCTGAAACTACTGCTTGAGCTCTAAGTTGTAATGTCTGGGTATTATTATAGTATTCAGTGAGATGTCTCAGGTTGATTGGTTGTTTTCTTTTCTTTAACTACTTGCAATAACATGGAAGGTTTCGTGCGAGTAGGAATTGCTACATGTGCTTGCATAGGCAGATGAATCTGTGTGGCCTTACCCCATCTGAAGCACCATTTCCACATGCTGAATCCTGCAGTAGGTGGGACAGGATGTAGTGTTGCACAGGGATGGGATGAGCGAGACATTGTGCTACTCAGAGAATACTGAAATGTTCATTTCTAGAAAGCACCAAGTTACTGATAAATCAAAAGAAAGTTAAAGAGAGCCAAAAAGTTACTGAAAGAGCAGTAGTTCTGCTTTCTATTATCATATCTCTAATTGAATCTCTTTGGCTAAAGGAGGAGGAGAGAAGCTCCTGTGAGCATTCAGAAGGAGCACACACACAGGAGAAAACAAGTTCCCTATGGAATACTTAGGAAAAAAATGGATGACACTGAACAAAAAGACTCTAAAAAAAGATTTTGGTATAGCTTTCACTGGGGAGAAACCTGTTCTAAGAATAATCTGTCGTGGGAGTGTTTTCTGAGCCCTGTCATTTAAAACAAAGCTGTACAAATAACTGGAGCAGACTCTGTAAGGCACAACACACTGCTTTAGGCCTTGCCAAGAGGGACTGGATGTAGAGGTAGGACGTAATTTTCCTGGTGGTTGAGATCAGTCCTGCTCTACAGCTGATAGGTCCAGGATGGTCCATAGAGCATCATCCTCCGCATCCTCCCGTTGAACATCACCACCAAACCCTTCCCAGCACTTAATATATTTCTTAATCAGGTTTCCTAATGGAAGGAGCTAGTTGACTGGCAGGAGAGGCAGAGGATGTGACACCAGTTCTGAGAGCAAATGTCTTGTCAAACCTTGCACTGCCAAGGTGAAGGAAACTGGGGGTGGAGAAGAGTATGGAGTATTTTGCTGCTGCTGTTGTTGCTGTGCTTTTTCTGCGCTACGCCATGGTCTTGAGTCCTTGG